GATATTTGCTTAATCTATCTAGATGATGTCATGGTTATGGCTAAATCATTTGATGACATGATAGACAACCTTAGGACTGTTTTTTCAAGGATTCGGCAAGCAAATTTGAGATTAAATAAAAAGAAATGTAATTTTTTCCAACGTGAAGTAGAATATTTTGGTCATATAGTGTCCGAATTCGGCAAGAAAACAGATCCTAAGAAAATTGAAACGATAACTCAATGGCCGATTCCAGTAAATAAAGATCAAATTAAAAGTTTTACTGGATTGTGTTCTTATTATAGGCGTTTCATTAAAGGTTTCTCTTCTATAGCTAAACCTTTGTACAATTTGGCAGATCGAAAAGATATTTTTGTTTGGACGGATGAATGTCAAACTGCATTTTTAAATCTGAAAAAGGCTCTGTCTTCGCCACCTATCTTAGCTTTTCCTCGGTTAAATTCACCTTTTCTGTTGGATACTGATGCTTCTAATCATGGTTTAGGTTGTGTCCTTTCTCAAAATCAGGATAATAGAGAAGTCGTTATAGGTTATTATGGTCGCGTCTTGTCTAAGGCAGAAAAAAAATTATTGTGTAACTCGTCGCGAATTACTAGCAGTTATAGTGGATATAACAATATATATATATGCATGATAATTTGAAGTATAATTAAGGATAGACTTTACTCTAATTTCGTATGGCGCGAAGTGTTCCATAAGTAGGGCTTAAGTCTTTTTGTTGAAAGGATGTGTGTGTGTGTGTGCGTGTATGTGTGTGTAATTCAGCCCAAGTTTCTGATAGCACGAAATGTTTCATGAGTCAAGCGTAATTTACAATAGAAGAGGGAAGGATTGCTTAGGTGATCACTAGAGGGAAACAATTCGGGTATAAGCCAAGTTTATTCGATCTCGAGTGCTCAGTTTACAAAGCTAGGAGAGAATACCAGCCTGTACAAAATTCAGCGTATTTATACACAAATTTTACCGCCTATTTTCGCAAGACAGCCCTCTTCATGCTGTTTACGCGAATGTGTAAAATCATTTTCTCTTGTTCACAATAGAACAGACAGCACTATCAAAAATCTAAATAATGTAAAAAATACCGAAATTGGTATAGATAATTTATGCATAATTTACACTTATCGCAAAAATCGGATTCAAAAGTTATTAACTAATTAAGTTAATTAATACAATAACGCAAAATTTATAAAAAAATAATAAGAAATTTTACACATAAAAATAGTTTATCGCTTGTAGATGTAATTTAAATAAAGAACTACTTAAATTAGTTAATGATAGTCAAATAATAATCAATTTTCGGATTTTTGCAAAATCTTATAATGTAAATATAAAATCGGTTATTTAAAATTAATAAATTCTAACCATGTTGACATTATATATAGAATTAACGCTTTCGATTCATATACTATTATTTATTCAAATAAATTATTAATTGTTTATTTATTGATAACAGTAATACCTAAGTTGTTATCAATGAAACGAATTTTTACTCATGTTTCTCATATAGTCATCTCGAGTTCAAAGTATCCGCTATATTATAATAATTAACATTTAAAAAGTTATAAACAAATTAAGTTTGCATATTAAAACTCAATACTATTTAATAGTTAAAAGTAATTAAAAATATTATAATCTTAATCTATGCCCTAAAATCTATATAAAAATTACTTTTAATAACGCATTTTAATTGAACAATGAATATTATCATATCTACTACTGTGGGCAAAAAGTAAGGTGAATTTGTTTGTAAAATGAAAAATCTTTATTTATTCTTCTACATCAATGTCATCCCCTTCGAAGTAATCCCCTCCCGATAAAATACACTTATGCCAACGTTTTTTCCAATCCTCGAAACATGCCAAATAGTCCCTTTCCGGTATAGCCATCAGCGCCTTCTTCGATTCAGCTCTTATCTCCTCAATCGACTCGAAACGCGTTCCCCGGAGTGGTCTCTTGAGTTTTGGGAATAGCCAGAAGTCACACGGAGCCAAATCAGGCGAATACGGTAGTTGCGGAACGATATGCGTCGAATTTTTGGCGAAATGGTCACGAAGAACGAGTGAACGAATTGAGCGTTTTCGGTACCAAACGAGATTTGACTTTTCGTAGGCCCAAATGGTCTTTCAAAATTGTTTTCACAGATCCTTCTGATATTCCGATCATATCAGTAAGGTCTCTAACAGTCAACCGACGATTTTCGAGCACTAATTCCTTCACTTTATTGACGTGTTGGTCATCTGTTGACGTCGATGGTCGTCCGGAGCGCTCCAAGTCATCAACACGTTCTCGACCCTCTTTGAAGTCTTTGTACCACTTATAAACATTTTTCTGCGACATGGTAGAATCACCAAAGGCCTTCCGCAACATCCTCAACGTTTCCGCAGCCGAAATTTCATTCCGCAAACAAAATTTGATGGCACTTCTTTGCTCAATTAAATCAGATATTGTAAAAATCGAAACATGCACTCTTGGTCGTTTGGTAAACACAAGCGTAAATATATTACTGATGATGACATTGACATGAAATTTGTCCCAGATGTCATTCGCAGTCCTACCAACTCAAGAAAAAAAGAACTAGCCCGAAATGTTAAGCCCGCGAAGTTTAAATTGAAAATTCACCTTACTTTTTGCCCACAGTAGTATATCTATAAGTAGAGTGACGTCACGCTCCTTATATGGTCATGAAATTCGATTATAGCACTAATACAATCATTTAATATGTGAGGTGGCGCCGTTTAATAAACTAATTGATATATGTAAATTCATGAGTTAAGCAGGTTGCAGTAATCCAGTGAAAATAAGAAAGGAGCTCATAAATAGGACCGTTACAATTATCTTCTCTTTAACATTCGCTTCAAAAATAAAAAAAAATCGAATGGTTGTAAAAAAATTGACAAAAAAGAATTTCATGTGTTAATTAAACATTACTTTATTAAAGGAAAAACGCTTCAGGAGACTACATAGAAACTTGATAAACATTATGGTAATCGGGCATCTTTGATAAGAATGGTTTATAAGTGATTTCAAAATTTTCGGAGTGACCATATGAGCACGAAAAATGATGAACGTTTTGCATACTCTGTTGAGGTTACCACTCGAGAAATCAATATGGCGATGGCTGACAGAAAAGTGAAAGTGCGTGAAATCGCTAGTGCTGCAGATATCTAAAGCAAATAAGTATACATACAAATAAGTATACATAATATTTTGCACCAACATTTGGACACGAAAAAGTTATCCGCGATTTCTCGCGATTGACCAAAATCAAGATCTTGTGAAATGTTGCAAGAATGCTTTGTAGCTGATCCAGCGAGATCCGCAAGTCTTTAAGCGTCGTTTCATCATTATAGATAAAACATGGATACATTTCTACACTCCTGAGACATAAGAACAGTCTAAACAATAGTTTGTCCAGAGGGAATCGGCACCAGAAAAAGGTGAAAATTATTCTTTTGCCCGAGAGGATTATGGCAACTGTCTTTTGGGATTCGCAAGGAATAATCTTCATCGAATATATCGAAAAATATATCGAAAAAAATATAAGCCATTACAGGTGACTAGTACTCATCGTTATTGGATAGTTTTATTTGCAAGAAAAACGTTCACGATTGGCTCATAAAAAATCCTCCTCCATCACGACAACATGTGGCCGCAAAACTGATGAAAATAGAGTTCCATCTCGTTTCACCTCCCCCCCCCCGTATTCGTCAGACTTAGCTCCACTAGACTATTATTTGTTTCACTATATGATAAAATGGCTGGCGGAAAATAGATTTTATTACAACGAGGAGATGATTACAACAATGAATGTTTATTTTATAGACTTGAAAAAATCTTATTATTTAGAAGAGATCTATAAACTAGAGCGGTGTTGGATAAAATAATGTATAACCCTGAAAGGAGGAGATATATTAAAAAATAAATAAGTTTTATTAAAAAAATCAAGCAGTTTTCAGTTTTGCCCGAACTTTTCAAACAATTCTGAGATATATATATATATATTGTAACGGGGTGTGAATTCCGTTTTAAGTTCTTTGTCTCGCCCGATGCGCAGTCGTACCGGAATGCGCGCGGCGAGATCGAAATAATCAAGTTTTGCTAGCTAACTGAAGAGCAGGAAGGACAGGTATCAGTCAACCAACTTACTAATAGCAAAGACAACAATAGATTAACGTTTCAATCATACATGGACTAGTTTATTCATCAAGTAATCTACGACACACTTTGCCCGCGTATTTACGCTTATATGAGGAGCGCGACAATCTTACGTATCGTCATTTCATTTACAATCGTTCGATCGCGATATTCGTTTACATGCTCGCTACCGATTTCCTTGTATTCGCAGATGTGAGGGGAAAGCTTAGATGTTACGTGCGGTCGCTTATCGAAAACTATAACGCGAAGCTGGCCAGCTTACCTTATATGATTATTCGCACGGTCAAGGGGATCAGTTCAATGTCGTAGTTCAGTGCGTGGGTCAGGTTGTCACTTTTCCACTTAAACACGAGGCTCTCTCTGTCGTCGTGCTGCTTCCGTCGGACGGATTCAGCAACCTCGTGGCTGGCCTCCGATGGCGTCTCGGCTAGCTACTCGAACTCACAGCAACAACAAAGAACTATAGGCCGTCTAACGTTCACGCTCCTTGTGGCGTTCACACGCACGCACGTCGTTGCCGATACTAGAGGCACTCCTGGGTTCGGACACGTTATTCGCGATTTTCAGGTAACTGCTCAACTCTCGTGTTAGTGTTCCTGGACTCCTGCACGCTGTTGCCGGTGTCAAAGGCGCTCTCTCACTGGTCCTTTTCTCTTCGCGCGCGTTCCCATTTCGGACCGAGTTCCCGTTTTCGACTTACCCGGACCGGTAGGTGCTGTCCTCGCAGGCAGCCATGCAATCGAGACGGTAGCGCAAACCGGACATTTACCGTCACAATATATATATATAACATCAACTCATTCCTTTCGAATTAAAATATCAAAGAATACTTGACAAATACATACCTTATCTGCTGTAATAGCATTATTAATTATACCTCGGTATTTCTGAATATTAGATCTAAATTGTTCAGTCAACCGTATACTAGGAAGTCTAGTCCATCGTTCTTTAAATTGTGAACGAAGATGGTTATCCGAATTGAGTTCATCATCTAACATTTTTTCAGTCTGTAAAAGAAATATTTGTAAGTAATTCTCTGTAAAAACACTAAGTATAAAATTATTACGTGAATAAATCTTTAAAGGCCCTCTATAATGGAAAGATTAGATTACCTACGACTATTTATATAGTTCAAAATATGTTGAATTCAGCAATATCATTATTTAATTTCAAAGCTGAAAAAATTTTAAGATATTTAATCTCAAATATTATACACTTTTATAGGTTATCTACAGGGTCTGATGGGAGAAAGAGAGAAAATTTTAGAAATTTATAGTTTATTACATCTCAATAATTATGTGTTAATTTATAGTATATAATGTCTTGTAACGGGGGGATAAATCTGCAAAAATGAGAAATTTATTTAAGAACAAACTCCCACGATGCAGAGCAAACTGCCGCTCCGTTAACACGTATGTTAATACGTGTATTCGCCTTAACGTCAGCTGACTTAACTTAGTTGTCTTCGATCAAGCAGAGTTGATGATCAACTCACCTTAAGTCACGTGCCTTGTGACACACGATGAGTTTCAAGTGTAAGCGACTTTACTCCAAATCCACTTAATCCCCTAGCTATAATAGGATTAAAACCTAAGCTTTTTCTAATTGTTTAAACTACTAGGAAAAATCATATGACGAAATCGGCGAATAATTTTAATAGATTTTATTAATAAAAATCTCTACAGTCTTTGTCGGGACGAAAGACTGACGCACGCGAACAGGATTTACAATTAAATAACTTTCGGTGAGAAAGAGAGAGAGAGAAGATACGAAAATTGGCGCGATCTAACGCTTGGCGCAAATACAAAAAAATATCAACGCTAACACGGTTGAACAAAATACTAAATGTATTTTGTCACGCGATAATTAAGGGAGGTGCACCTACCCTGCGGTGCAATTACGGTGATCAGCCGTAATTGTTGATGTTAGAAAAAAACGATCAATTGCCTCTGGTCCTGATTTATCAGCTGCGCTGCCTCGTACCGCCTTTCTGCTGCAAATCTGCTGCTTTCGTAACGCCGCAATCTGTTTATCACCTTGATGCACTCGCGCGCGTAATTAATCTGTATAAAATGATTATTCGGCGAGAAAAACTGTAAAAACAAAATTCGGCGATATCCACTCCAATCAACAGCTGAGACGTAACTGCTAATTTAAAAGATCGCGCGCCCCCTCTCTCTCTCAATACTTAGAACTAACGCGCGAAAATCAGAATCGCGAAAGGTTCGATTAATTAAATCGACTACCGTTGCAGTCTTAATTGCAAAGGACAGGTTGCTGCGGATGTTTTTAAGTTATAAACAAAAATGTCGCCTCAAAGTGCCGAAAATCAATACCTTAATGCAAGATGAATTCAACTGCTTAGGTAATTTTTTCTAATGAATATTAATATCTCCAAATAAATACATATATTCAAGATTAATTAAAAAATAATATATAATTAGACAAATCTGGATTTTTGAAGATTCTGCTCATTACATAATTCAGCCGGATATTCTCTACATGAGATACTCTTTCGTAAAAGTGCTCGTATGATATGTGCATTTAGCTGGTGCACTTGATATTTCATAGCAATTACATACAACCGCGCCAGAGCCTAGTGTTTTCAAACGATACTACGATTGCTCTTTCAATAAACATTATTTTATAAGCTGAATGGTTTCAGTAGAGCTACATCAGGACGAGTCTCAATGATAACAACAAACTAATCCTATGAAAAAATTGAAGCAAACAAGCAATGAGATATGTGTTTGAGCCAAAAGTTTGAACTATAAGGACATGGCAGGATAACATGAATGGCGGCTCTCTCCAAGGAACTCATAAGGCAAATTAGTTCCAAAGGCCTCGAAGAAAATTTGACATGGAAGCATTCCATTTTGATATTAGCACAGATAGCGCAAGTAAGATGACTAACATTCCACTTCTTAAAGCCGGAGTGCATAAAACCATTGCATCAGAGCAGGAGAGCAGACAACATATGATGCGGAAAGACGATAAATCGAAGCATCTTATTTGTCATGTTTTCTATCCACGTGAGCATTATTGAATCAACGCATCTAATAGGAACGCTCATAGAACTGGCGAATATAAATTCGCTCATCAGTAGCTTCGAATTGTCTATGTCCGCGTCAATTCATAAAAAAGTGTGAATGGAAATATAAACGATTGCAGGGCATCAATGGAAAGATATTTAAATGAAAAGAATGATTTAATTAAAAGAATGAAGCTCGTAAAGAGAATTTAAATGCTACATTTGAGAAAAAAAGAATATTAAAAATTGATATACGAGGTCTGTTCAAAAAGTATCGCGAATTTTGAATTTTCGAGGGCTACGTAAAAAACCCCGCACAAAACCAATGGAAAATTACTTTCGGTTAATTTAAATCTTACACTGACAAATCGATAGTTCGTAACATACTGATCAAATGTCTCCATGGGTACCATATCCGGAAACTCGTTTTTTATGGACAAATCAAGGGTGTTAGCTCCAAAAATACATAGTATACGTCTTAGCCATTTTAAGACGACAATGATATGCTTTTATTGAATGCATGTACATTGATTTATATTTTGTGGACATTTGAAAGTCGATGCACATATAAATACTCACAACTTCTTTCTCTGATCCGTATATCTCTTTGTTTTACGCGAAAGTGATAGTGTACGGTGACCCATTCTCAGCCGAATCCAGGATCAACGGCGTGGACGTGATGGGCGTCTGATCCCTGTATGTGTGTGTGTGTGTGTGTGTGCGTGCGTGTGCGTGTGGGTGTACGTATGCGTGTGCGAGTGCGTATGTGTGTGTGTGTGATTGTGTGTGAATGTATGTATTTAAATGTAAGTCAGCGTGTGTATGTGTGTGTGAGTGTGTGTATGTAAATGTGTAAGTCAGTGTGTGTATGTGTGTGGGTTTGTGTATATATACGTGTGTGTATAAAACAAAAAAAATAAAAAAATAGAAACAATAAGCATAAAGCCTATTTCCTCTCTCTTCTTTCACATTACTAATCTCTATTAACCGAGAGGATCTATTATTTCAATTAATTGATCGATATCCATCTGTGCATCTTGTACGCTTCGCAAAAATCTGAGCGATGGATAGTGCACCTGATTTTCATGTCGAGCGTATCCCAAATACCAAAGAATAGTTGCTACATGGGCGCAAGTTCCAAGAGTTCTTGCTCCAGCCTTGCATGTACAGTAGTAACCAAGAATAGGTTCTCCTTCATTTGCAACATCTTGCTCTTGATTATACTCCTCATTAAATGCTATCCATACTTGATGTTTCGCAGCATTTCTGAATCTAGAGGAAATTCTTATTCTCATAAAACCTGGTTCATTGGTATTCCGATCGATTTCAAAGGTTTGTTCGTCTTCTCCGATTTCTTCTTCATTTTCAAACTCAGCCCTTAAAGAAGAATCCTGAACGTATGAAGGTGCCAGCCCAACTTGATAAGTTCCATAAGTTAATCCTCGTAAATATTCCAATGTCAAATTCGGAAACAATGGCACATGCATTGCAGTTAGGTTATCCCATCGACCTCGTCTTCGTTGAAGACCTTCAACTTCTACTCGAGCTTGCACTAGATTGAGCTCGTTAACTTTATTTAACATCTGTTCTGCTAATTCTACGTTTGCATCAGGCATCATAATTATTGTATGATATTTATTTATTATAGCACCGGCTATACGCAGAAAATCAGTCAAGTTGGGAATATGAGACGTAGGAATAACGTTTGCAAAAAATTTAAATAAACTTTTCAGATGGCCATTTCTGGCTTCCACGATCCATCTAGTTTTTGTGATGATTCGAGCTTGGTTGACATCTTCTGTTGAGAACTGAGCTTGATTACGATCAAGTAAAGGTGGCATCAATGTAACTAAGCCAATATCCTTTAAAATAGGAATGGCGTCTCGGTATCCGCGATCCAGTATGAAAATGTCTTGTGCACTAAACCATCTTTGCATTCCGTCAACATCCATTTGGAACTCTTTTAAAAGGATTCTGGCATCATTGTTAGCGGCATTCGAAAAATAAGGTCCTTGAATATCAAGTATATATCCATCTGGAGCTACAAACATGGCAGGTTTTAATAAATGTCTGTTCTTATTAAAACCTTGTTATTAAAACCCTGTTCTTCTTCAGGTGTGGCATTATACAAGCGATTTGCAAATGGTGTTATATGTCTTTCTATGTATTCCTCCCTTGTTATTGATCCAAACCCTATGTTCTCATCTACAAATCTCATCATCAACGATTGTCGAACTGTACTGATTGCTAAACTCGTAGCTTGCCTTGAAGAATAATGGAACATTACCCATAAAAATTCATCCGAAAGACCCTGTTTTAACTTATACAGGAAACATAGAAGGTCTTTTTTAGACACATAACGATGGCCACCTGGAACGATGACAGGATCAGAGTATGTGAAAAGATCATTAAAGTTATCTTTTGAAATAGGAGAAATAGCTGCAAATTGTTCATCTGTTAAAGTGCGTTCATCTTCATATCTGCGTACAGGGCTATGCACAATTTCTTCACGCATCGCTTGAACAATTGATTGTAATTCTGGACCATTCAAAATGTATGGTCTATTATTGAACCTGAAATCTTCAATAATATTGAGTGGTAATAAACCCTTTTCATCCAAATGCTCATTACAGCAACAGTATCTTGCTGGCACATAAATGTTTCGCTCTACAAAAATATGAACTCTGGATTGCAAACTTAATCTGTGAATGTTAATACGTCTATGGCACACCAAACATTCATTATTAGTACGATGAGAAAGAACATTGAGTCGAGTGCAATTGGGATCAGCCTGTAACATTTGAATTTCATGGCGTATTGTTATATTACAATTGTTACAGATCCGAGTTTCAAGATCAATAGGAGCTTCTGGTCTTCCATCCTCCAAGCGTCTTGTAAAAGCGATTTCTCGTAGAAGGTCATCTTCAGCGTTAGCCAAACGTACCATTACTCTAGCATGTAAAACGTTAGCTAGCA